AGGAGTCATCTAAATTTGGGTACTATCCTGTACATACTGACCTGACAAAACAAAACCAACTTCAATATCCAAATGAAAAAACATCCTTTAACATTTTGGGGGAAATATTTTATTTGACACTTGAGTCAAATATCCAAATGCAATTCTAGAAAAGAGGTAGCAAAGGAGTTGAGAGGTACGACTTTTCAAGCAGATTTTTGCATCTTTTGTGGCCTCCTGGGTTGATCTCAACCACAATTTGAACAGATCTAAAGTGGTATTTGAGGCTGTGAAGAACCTGCAATGAAACTGGCACAAGAACTTCAGAGCTCCCTATTATCAAGTCTTCAGTAGTTTCTGTTGCTTATGCATGGATCATGTCACACCCTTTTTTCTCACTGACTTGATGCTGAATTGCTGGTTTGCTCACCCAATTTCTGTGGCACCTGGAGAATTTTCTACACTGGATTGTGTAGGGAAGGCATGATAAGAACCTAAGAAAAACTGGAGAGCAGTGGCCATGACATCTCGTGAGAACGGGCTGTACCATTTTGATGGAACTTGTTTGAAAAAGTCTTTGTACCTGACCCTACAAACAAAAGACTGAATGGCCACAAGGCTGTCTACAAAATGTCCCAGTACAGTTCTAACAGCTATTTTTCCCATGAAAATCCACATGAGACTGAAAGCTGAAGGAAAAAGTTCACTGGTCAGATCATACAGCACATGCCACAAGTAAAATTTTTATTTCCACTTGCTAAATGAACTGATGAACTATCAGAGTTTCTTCACATCTGTGCCTCCACTGACTTCCCACAGGAAGGCAGCAGCAAAATGACCAGGTTCCAAAGACCTATTACCTTTCTCTTTGCCTATTCCCTGCAGTCCTAACTTGCACCACTGTTCTGAACTGCCTTGTGAAACTGTGTGCTCTGAAACAGGTGACTCCAGTAAAATGATTTGTAGGCTGAATGCTACAAAATAAATTTCTTTGGCAGATATCACCAAAGAGTGCTGTCAGTCAACAGTGGTTTTATCAAATTAAGATATAGAAGACAACCATAGAAAATAGAAAGTTGTTCTTCCAACTCCATTTTCACATCTGTTTTGCTGATCTCCAACAATATGAAAGACTGTATTAAGGATATTATACAGGTGACTAAGTTACACATCAGATTTCTGTCAACTGTTGTCCTACCAAATGTTGGTCATGGTTGTTAATTAATCCAATATTGTCAGAATCCCATTTTAAATGGAAATATTATAGTAAACTGTAACAAAAGGTTTAGGAGCATCATTTTTAGAAGGTGATCAATATCAACAAACAGAAGGCTGCTTGAAAAATGTTTATGCTTAAAATATAATAACTACTGCACATATCCTTTTCAACTTTTATGCTCTAGTCAATGTATTATAATTGAGTTCTACTGAATTACTTTTTAGTGGATAAATACTGTACACGCTGCAGTGTGATGAGACATCATGTAATGTATACTAATTAAGCCATTATATCTGTGGAGGAGATCGTATCTGAAATATCAAATTAGCAGGAATTAAACAACTCAAAGGATTAATGAAATGTTATGGAGCCATTCACTTCCAGGTCAACAGGTTCAATTTCACCTCAGTTTAATAGTTATAATGAATTTATGTGCTGGAGATAACAATTCCCTGCATCCGTTCATAAATCAGGGCAAGAGCCCCCGGCTCATACCAGGAGCAGCAGCCTTGAACCAGCACAGCCAGAACAGCAGAGCCAGGAATATCTGCTAGGCCTGTGTTTGGCACATAGCCCCAGGCTCCAGGAGATCAAACAGCACATTTACTGGATGGCTGCAATATGTGTAGGCAGCAGCAGCGACACCAGAGACACTCAGTCAGTTCTCTTTACAGACCTGCCAACAATTGTCAACCCCAGCAATAAAGTTATCACAGGCACAACATTCCAGCCCATCTCGTCCTCGGCTCAGTTCAGAGCCCATCCTGCTTATCCTGATCCCTCTCTCAGCAGCCCTTGCTGCTTCAGCCTGCAGCACAAGGAGAAGGTGGGGCTGGGGCACGGGAAAGGAAGAACAGCAGCCAACTTTTGTTGGCTTTCTCTTCAGCTGACGAGACCACAAATACCCAGCAAACCCTGGTTTTGCAGTGGAACCACGAATTGGAGACTAAACTTTTTTTAGAGATTAAATAACCACTAAACTTTTTTTAGAGATCAAATAACCACCACATCAACAGACTGAGGCATCAGCTCCTTAATGATGATGGGCAGCGAGCAAACCACAACGGGTTTGTACCTAAGAGAAAGTAGTTAAGAAATAACCACATCAAGAACAAAAAACTGTATCTTAGTAGCAAAGAGGTACATCCAACCTCTGCAGATACACATAGAAAGGAGACAAATTGTAGCAATCACTGAAAGCCCATCAGTTCAATTTGCTGTGAGGACTCTGTTAGACACACACAGACATGACAGTGTAAGTAAGCTAAGGAACAATTTTTTCACAAGATTTTTTCACTGACTTCTGCTGAGCTTTGCTAGAACTAAAATCTCACTGAGCCTCAGTATCTCCAGCTGTTACAAGGATCACCTACAAAGGTATTATGGAAAAAATAGTATTTATGAGGTGCTTCAAGGGATCTAGAAATACAAGTTTTAAATATCAGTCCTTCCTGGAGGTGTTTAACCCACACTCTGCAATATGGATTGAGAACCCAAAGGAAACATGCTATACTGTGACAGGAAAGTCTTCTGCTGCCGCCTCTACCACCAACCACACTTTGTGATCATCCTGCTCCCCCGTCAAATACTCCCAAGACCTGGAAAACAACAAGGATTTTCAGCAGAGAGAATGTGGATGGCTGTAAAACAGCTTACACAGGCTAATACATTGAAAATAGTTTTTCAACCAGGGGTATTGAGATACAAACACTAGACTGAAAGAAAAGCTGTGGCAGTCTTCATAATATATGAAAAAAGCATCAAGCTTGCAGGATTGTTCTCTCTTAGTGACTACAAACAGAATTCAAGAACAAAGAGCATTCTAACAGCTGTTTGCTTTGCTTTCCTGGCACTCAGGTATTTCAAGTTTAAAAAAAAAAAAAAATAAAGAAAGAAAAGAGTAAACATGACAACCCAAAAGTTATAAGGAGCCATTTTTATTGCAGGACTGCCTTGAATGCACATTCCTGGCTTACAAAATCTCTCAACACTCTCAACAGCAATCAAGAGGTTGAGTGGAATTTGTACCATATATTTACTCTTTCAGCAGGAAGCTGCAAAGTACAGCACCAAGTACTGGAGCTGGAAATGCAGATGTGTTTTTACTGGTCTTTCTTACCTTTTTCCACTTTAGCCACTATTCTCCCTCTTCTATGACATGTGACTTTCAAGTACTGAGTTCCTTCAACAACACTTCTAGATCTACTTTTCCAGTGACATCCTAAGTTACACAATCGTAATTAAAAGTTTCTACAGATCATCAGAAGCTTGCAACCAGAGCATTTTCCTAAGGGATATATTTTGAAAGTATAATTTTTATGATTAATAATCTGATAATAGATTATAGCTTATATATTAACATATTACATAATTACATATGCACACAGAAAATGATCACTTAAAAGTGCAATTTTTACTATGACTTCCCAAACCTTTGGAAAGCAATATTTTTGTAGTTTCTCTGTTCAAGAAAGAAAATACTTTAGTAATATAGGCAGATGCAATAAAATATTCAGTAAGAATTTTAAACAAAGTGTCCTCCAAGAGGCAGATGAATTTAAGGCATTTTCTGTGTTGGACATGAGAGAAGCAGGAAGAATAAACCCTTCAAAAGCACTTGAGAAAAGTATTAAGGAAAATTCAGAATGTAAAGTAAAACCTGAAATTTTCAACATCACATACTGGATTTAAAATTATACATTTAAAACCATTTAAACTGTATTTAAAACTACAGGGTTCTAGTTTAGAGGCCTAACTCCTGTGTGTGTGTTTGTAAGGAGAGAAATATGTTTTATTAGACCACTATAACTCGAAAAAGTACATAATCCTTTTGTCAGTCTAGTATAAGCAATTACCCTTCCCTTGGAACCTTTTCTCTCACATCACCATGATCATGGTTACAAAACTATCTACTTCCAAAGTTTTTAAAATCTCTCTGTATCTCGAGCATTCCACTGCTGTACTTCAGTCACTTAAAGCAGAGAGGAGAAATATTAAATTTGTGTAGTTTCACACTTCATCTTGAACGCTGTAAAACTCTAGTATGTTCTCCTCATTCCTAACAGACACAAGCATCCAGTTGCATGTCAAGCAGGAGCCCTGGATAACAAAACAAGCTCTGACACTGGAGCGAGAGAGAGGCAGCAGCGTTGGGGTTTTGGTGCTGCAGGATAAACTCTGAGGTCCACAGGGAAATCTAAATGGTGTATTTTTCTGTTTACCTTCAGGTGACAATGTCCAAATGCTGCAACACATCACTGAACGTCTGCTACAAAAAGTCCTGTCATGAAGAATAAGAATGGATGGATGAATAATGGTCAGGCTGGACCTTCTGCCTCCTGCCAGCAGGGCTGAGCAGAGATTTAAAACCAGCTTGTAAGCAATATGCAGCCAATCTAAACCTATACAATCAGCCCTAGAATCATCAACATTACAGAGACATCAACTTACCTCTGAATAGAGATAAGGGAGTTGCTGGTGTTTCTCAGAGGACCCAGCTTCATGGACTGAAGTCAGAGAAAGAATTACTTCTTTCACAATCTGTTCTCCCAACTATATTCACTGATAGCACTGAACGGGGGGGGGGGGGGGTGGTGTTCCTTTTTAAAAGCTTGCATTCTAATTTAATTGAAGAAATATGATAAAGTCTTCCCTTCTCCATATAGAAAAAGAATGTTTCAAAATAGGATATACCGGAAAATATTTTTAATGTTTCCTTCATGTAAGACCCTATCATATATGAATGAGATTTTTGTTTTGATCCAAGCAAGTAACAAGTTTCAATCCAAGTAAACAACAGATCTTAAGAACTGGAGGAACAGGATTTCCCTTTTTTATTTTCATTCACTGTCACCTCTTTCTACAGCTTCCTGCAAGACGGACATTTTAGTATTTTCACCAACTGCAAAGCAAGGACAAATCAACCAACTCAAACAGAGATGACCACACTGGGTCACAGTGGTCCATCCTGAAAGGCAGAGCTTTACCTACACTGCATATTGGCCTCCAGGGCATAAAAAGTGGGGCTTCAGGGGGAATGGGAGGGAGGGATGCTCAGCATTAGATGCCAGCTTCCTGAAGAGAAGTCACCTTTTACAAGACACAGCTGCAAAAGCTGTGCAGTCAAAAAATCTTATATTTGTCTTACTACATAATATATTCCACACCAGCAATTGTTTCTATCCAAATGGATATATCCAAATTAAATGTTGTTGCAGCAAAACTGCTCTTTGATGAGGCACCCTGATCATTTGAAAAAAGACAACAGCCATCCTGGCAAAGCATCCTAGTGCTACAAACTGTGGTTCTTTCAGTGCTTCTTTCAAAAGAAAGACTCTCCTGAAAATTATTTAACTCCTTTTTTTTTTAAACTGAACTTCATGCAATCCTTTCAGGTTACTTTGAAGAAAAATGTTGAATCAATCCACATTCTAAAATGCCTCAGAAAGAAGAAAAATCCCAGCAGTAAATCCACCTAATTAAGTGGGGGTGTATCTAGCCCACAGCTATTATCACTTCTCAGCTTAATATTTTTAAACAGCCTGTATGTGGAGCAGGCAGTGAGCTCTCTTCATTATTTCTCAAATGAAGCTGAGTAGATCTAACCCAAATTATGGCAAGATAAACCAGACAACTTAAGTGATGAAAATTGTACTTTTCCCTCTGCTTTAGGGACGCTTCTGGCTCATCTGTCCTCTGATCAAGGTGAGCCTGATAAAGCTGAAAATTACACTGTGTCACTGGATTGTATGAGATTATCTTTCCCCTGAGAAGTGATTTATTTTAGTAACTCTTAATGAATAAGAAACTTTCTGCTCCAACACACTGCTCTTCTTGTGTGGGCATGGTTCCTTATTGCTTTGAGTGAGGGAATCACATAAAAAGGATGGAGAATCTGAGTGGCTACATCTCCTTTATGGTTCAAAGACAAATTTATGTTATAAGACAGACCTTCAGGGACCACCAGTTCCATAAAAAGGGAAAATCATTGTCATTAGTTTGTAGGTTTAACTGCAAAAGTTACAGGCATATCTTCCACTTTTTGAGTGTGAGCAAAGTCTGGTTTTGGCTTTGAGGGATCTTGCTTTGTAGAATTTGGGGCTTCTCGATCTTTAGACGATTCCAGGAGATGTTGCATGTTAAGTTTGAAAATAAGGCGAGGATCTGGTCCAGAAAGAGATGGGCAATTGCAGCTCTCTCTTATTTTAAGAGCCTGTGAACACATAGGAAAACAAATCAAGCTCATTTAAACAGGAAAAACAAAAAAGGTTTCAGTCAGTGACTTGGCTTTCCACAAGGTTTGCATTTGCACATAAAGCTTAGTGAGTGTAATGCTGAGCCTGAGTTGTTACTGAACAACTTTCCAACAGAAACCAAGAGCTCCTGTGAAGAAATGCAGTAATGTGGTAAAACAATGGGGGAAATGAAGAATGAAGAATGAAATGATTTTCTCACAGGGTCTCCAAGGATGGATACTGTAAAAGGCACAGCATAAATAGATAGGAAGCTCTCTAACTGTTTTGTGTGATACTTGTGCACATCAGTACCTTTTACCTTTTAATTTACATTCACAGGTAAATTGAACTTTGTGTAACCCTTTCAGGTTACTTTGAAGAAAAATGTTGAATCAATCCATATTCTAAAATGCTTCCAAAAGAAGAAGAATCCCAGCAGGAAATCCACCTAATTAAGTGAGGGTGTATCTAGCCCATAGCTATTATTGCTTCTCAGCTTAAAATTTTTATATTTATATTTCCATGTAAATGAAAATGACTGCATCAGGAAAAAAAGGTCTCTGAATTATTTACTTCATCAGGTATGTTCTATTATTGATGTAACTATATATAGCTGCCTGACTCAAAAAAGGAGGGAAAAATCTCCAATAACATAATGGACATTTAAGTGTTTGGCACAGAGACAGTTCATCAGTATAGTTAAGGTCCAGCTACACAAGTGATCTCATCTCTAAGAACTATTTGGATACACAGCTTCCAAGTATTAGGAGAAAATAATGTCTCTGGAATGTAAAAATTTACCTGAATAAAAAGATTAGTACTAAGAGACCAAACTTTAAGCTCACTGAGTAAGTGCCATTGCTTCCATTTTACAGATAAGAAAGCAGAGGCACGAGGGAGGCAAAGAATTCCCCAGAGAGACAAAATTCATTAGCACAGGCACATTCCCCCCAGATCATCCTGTGCTGTGGGGAATGAAGGTGTGACAATGGATGAATCTCATGGCTCAAAGGCACTGTGGAGAAACTGGTATCAACTTGTAAAAAGTCAGTTGGTTTAAAGGATGCTGAAGTTGGTGTTCATTGTAATAAACCTGAACATGCATTAATTAGACCACACAAACAGGCAGCTCCTGGTGTGTGTGGCACATAACTAACTGATGCAGGGGTTGTACACAGACCTTTATCTTGGCCTCAATTAACAGCATAAAACCATGGGCAGATTTACATCCTGCTCTGGTTTTAATCCTTTCATGGGAAAACAAATTCAAATGTACATTTTATTCCACTTCACTTTATAAGCATGGATTCTTGAAAAGTAATGGTCAGACCTGGCCTGAGTTGTATCCAGGTGCATCCTGGCCAGGACTCAGGACTGTCAGCAGAAAGTGAGGGTCAAGTCATTCCTTCCAGATGGATTAAAGAGGAGGAAGAAAGTAACAGTTTTCCCAGCACTCTTAGAATTGTACTTTGAACAGAGCAGAAATTTTTAATCTGTTTTATAATCATTAGCTTTGGCTGAAGTAACAAATCAAATATTCCAGCACAGGTATGCATAAGCATTTGCCCATCATTTTGAAACACTCTGCTATTCTTCCACAGGAGACACTGGAAACATCTCGCTACAGCAGATTTTAAAATAGAAGAGCAGAGCTTCTTAACTCATTTCTTTGGATAAAGAGGTTTCAAAACCTATTTCTCCCTAACTTTACTACAGTAAACTGATAGAGTTTGCTGTAAATGCCTAGAACCAAATATATTTTAAATTTACAACTGGTTTTGGAAAAAGACACATTCCAGGAATGTAGGAAGAGTCTCTCCAGCCATTTCTTGGTGAAATGTAACATTTAAATTACTGGATACACAAGTCTGGATTAGGCATGAAATATTGCTCTTGTCTAACTTTTAAAAAATATGAATAAAGCTTTCACAGCTTGTTTTTCTACAGCATGATCTTCTACATAGTCACCAAATGTAACTATACTGTGAACACTCTTCTGCTTCAGTGACCAATTAATTTCTAAACTGACATTTATGACAAACCAAGAGTTTTCTCTTGTTCTCTCCTACAACATAAGGAGCTGCAAGACTGCATTAATGTCAAGCAGTGTTATTCAAGGCAAATGGAAATACAAAGATTTAGGCTGCATCCTGGAAGGACAAACTAATCCTTTTTTAAGCTAATTTGGCAATTTTGTATCTCTGTTTTCCTGGCTATACAGTGCCTGGCCTATTTCCATGGCTTCACTTAACTAAAATAGTAAAGTCACGACAGCAAAGGCAAAAAACAGCACTTCAGAGTTAACATTTTTACATCATTAAAATGCCAATTACAGGCTGAGGAGCTTAAAACATCATTTCTCCCGAAAGATAAACCAGCCCAACGTGGTCAGGTGTCTGCATTTCCAAAATCACTGGTAACTTCAAATCTGGTAATTTAATATTGCTCAAGTAGATTGGGTTTTGACAGTCTGGGTAACCAGGTAAAAGCATTGCCAGTGAAGCACATGCATATTGATATTATAATAAGAACATGTTTTATTGACTGTTTTTACTGAAGAGCTTTCTCAGTAAATGAGGCAGGATGAGCCAAGGTTAACTAGATGGAGTGAGGATGAAGATTCACCTGGGAAGAGAGGGGATTTTAATGCTGTTCTTTCCAGGTTAACCTCAAGAGCACAGCACTGCTGCTCACAACAGAGACCCCCTGCCTGCTCACTGGTTCAGGAGATCCCAGATCAAATATCCAAACTATTGCTTGTGAAGTATCTCAGGTGAAGCTGTTTTTCTTATCAATACAATACAGTCACCTCCTGCAACATGCTGGGAGCTGGGAAAGCATAAGAATTAGGGGTATGTGCCTCATCCTCACTTTCATGTAAAGCCTGCCAGGAGACAAATACAGAAATAAGGAATTTTTAGTTCCCAGCATTAATCCTTCACACTGTCACAGACACCAGGCTACCTGCTGCATCTTGAGCCCTCACAGTATTAATGAAAGAGCAGTAAAAGATGATTAAAAGAATTGATAGACTTTACTTGATAGAGAAGAAAGGCAGCTTATATATAATGCTAATACTTCCAATCTTTCACTGCCATTGGCACAGAAAGGAAAAATTGTGACAAAATATTTAACAATTTTATGGGGAGGATAGAAATGCAGGTCAGTGGTTTTTATTCTTGTTTTCACATTGATAGGGCTTAATTAACATATTCTACTACTAGAACTATCTGAAGTAATCTCCATATCACAAGCAAAGGGCAAATATACCAACCCAATTTTGAAAAGAAGGCAAAATAAATGTATCTTCCATATCCACAAGGCAGCAGATTGAGCAATAATCAAAAGCTACACAAAAAAATAATAGAAGTAACAAACAGCCAGGGTGGATTTGACAAGAACAGGTGTTGCCAGAGTAAATTAATTACATTTTCTTTGACAAGTTAATTGACCTAGCAAACAAGACAAGCAGTGGAGTTGATGTATCCCAACTTAATATTAGTCTCTAAATGATCTCACTATGGCATTTCTACAAGGAAGAGTGGGAAATGTGAGTTACAGGGAATCAAAAATGGAATCTGAGCCAACAACACGATGCCAAAAAAAATCAAATGTCATGTCAAGATGAATTTTTGTGTCACAGGAAAGGCTCAGTAGATAACCTTCTGCTTTATTCAGTGTGCTGTTATCCAGGAACTTCTCTCTGGCACTACAATTCTGTGATTTTTCTCTCCAGAGCAACACTAAGCACCCTCCCCACTATTACAAAATCATTTTAAGATTTCTCTTTCTGAAAATCAAATGCACAGGCCTTCATCGAGTATCTCACCACCTTCCAGGCAGGAATTCTGAGAGATTTCAGTTTCCTATTTAAGAGTATACTCTGTTTTCCCAGTTTAAAATCCAAAGCTCTCCCTGAGGGGGAACTGCTTTAAAAACTTGGTAAATCTTTTTCATTTGCTTTATTTCATTTCCAGGACTCTGTAACTGCTCATAGCTCACTATTTACCGATGCCTCAGCTTGGCTGTAGGTTCCAACTTGCTCACAAAACCAGATGCAAGTTCTTCAGTGGTCATTTGCTTTGTTCCCTGTCTTCTAATTACATATAAAGAGAATCCCTGTGATGCTCCTGCTTTAATTTACATTTCCTGGGACTGTTCAGTCAACTCACTGAGATGTGACATTTCCTTACCTGAAGAAAAACTCCCACTTTATATGGTCACATTTTATTGTGAACTTGCTTAAAGTCTGTAGAGAAAGATCAGTGTGGCCTGAGAAGTCCAAAAACTTGTCCCAATTTGTCCCAGCTACAGTAGCTGGTCTAATAGTAGATATTGTATTGTCCCCAAAACCAGTTCAGCTTCAAAACCAGCAGCACATGAACACAACAGTGCTCACCATGGATCTGATACTGAGTCTTAAGAAGTACCAGTTTCTTCACAGAATGATACTAGAGATTAAAAAGCCTTTTTTGAAATCTGGCTTCTCTCCCTGGGCTCTGAACATCTAATGGCTATTAACATATGGTAAAAATACTGTTCTAAAAGCTTTAAGTATGTGAACAACTGAACAAAAAGATGCTGATATTGAACAATAATGCCCTGGGATTCCCTTTAAATGCCTGAGGTGCAGCCTCCAGGCAGCAGCTCCCAGAGGAAGGGAGTCAATGTCTCAGACAAGAAGCCTCCAACAACACCTCTACACACTTCCTTTCATCTTTATTCCACATTTGTAGTGCCAACTTCACTTACTTAGTCAACTTGTTAAAGACAGGAAGTCTTTTTTCTCATCCTACTCCAAAGAATGTTTAAGGTAAAAGGCACACAAAAACATATCCCCCTCAATTATCTTTTGGAAGAAAACTTCCCAGCCTCCCTTGCTCTTGGAAGAGAGAGTACCTATAAAAAGATGAAGTTGCTCCACTTGCTAAACTATTAGAGATAAGGCAGAAATAACAGTTGTACACAGTTGCTCAGCTATTTAACAGGCCAGGTGTAGAACACAAGAACTAATTTATTTCGTTACCTCTTTATAAGCCAGTCAGCAACTATATGAAAATAAGCAATCCTGAACCCTTAATGTTCAATCTACCTAAAACTAAGGCTCCACAAGTATCATTTTCCATTCAGCTGCTCTAATGTGTTAAAAATCCATCTAAAAAAGTCATAACCTGCTTTTGCAAAGTACAGACTTTGTGTATATTAATTTAAAATATTCAGTCTAGCCAGTCTCCAGCCTCCTACCCCTAATGCTGACTTTGATTTGCCACCATTTAGAATATTTACTGTATTCATCCTCATCAAAGGATTTGTGAAAACCTTTCTTTCTCCTTTGAAGTCAGCAAACACCTCAACATTTTAGTGCTCTCTCTGCCAATACATCTTCAACTGTCTTTACAGTTTGGAACTGAGAAAGGCTTTAGGTGATTGAGAATTTTAAAAAAAAAAAAAAAAAAGAAGAAATCACTAGTTGGTATAAAAAAAGAGTATTTCCAAACATAGTTTAGCTGCTGAAAAACAGTGTCATTTTGAGGTGCTTTTGAGGTGCTTTAACATTCTATTTCAAAACGAAAAAAACTAGGCAAAAAAATCCATTTTATTTTTCTGTAGTTAAAACACCCACATTTAAAGAAATAGTAAGCAAACTAAGATTACTAAACCTCAAAAGTTCTCTGTCCTTAAGCTATCAGCAAGTAGCACATCAAACTAAGATAGTAGCTTTCCACTTGGCATTCCTCTGAGAGGAAATCCAAAAGAAAGCACAGGGAAAAGGCTGCAGATTGATGGGCAATTGTGTGAATTAGTTCAAGTTTCTTGGAGTGAAGTAAAATTTGCTCCCTAATGTGCTCTCAGGAAATCTTCTCCTGGGGATCTGACATCCTTCTGAAGCTCAGCTACTCGAGGTGTGTTCAGTGTCACAGCAGTGAGGGGGCAGGATGGAGCACTCTCTATTTGACAGCCTAGGCAAAGCTACAAAAGCAAGAGAACTCACCACAGTTTAGGGATCCAACTTAAAAATTGGCTTCCAAAGTGGAAAAAAAAAGAGGAAAGAGTGGCTGAGATCCTGACACTGACACATCTATAGGAGAAGGCCATTCAAAAGCAAAGACTATACTTTGATCAGAAATCAGAAAAAAAAAAAAACAAACCTGGAATGTAATTACATTTTATCTGTGCTATCGTAATTTTCCTCATTTAAAAAAACCTTTAAGGTTGGGAGCTTTGTAGCAGAGAATTTGTGGGAGGATGAAGAGAAAGATAAAAGTGTAGATTGTGAATCAATCCCAAAGTAGCTCCAGAACCAATATCAAACCTTCCTAAGAGGGAAGGACGCTCCCTGCAGCTCTGCTCAGCTGTGGGATCAGCTCTGCTCACCTGTGGGATCAGGCGGTCCAAATGCTCTGCTCTGTTCTCATGGGAAGGGTGTGTGGAAAGCCACTCTGGGATCTTGGGCTGCCCTTGGATGGTTTCTGCCAGTTCCATCTGCTGCCAGAACACGCTGCTCGCTCTGACATCCACACAGGCCTGAAAACAGAGAGCAAATGTGGGCACCACTGAATTTTTAAGCTAATAAATACACACTCTAATAGATACTGAATTATGAAATTTCTTCAAAAAAACCCTCAGCTGTGAATTCTAAGTTACATTTGCTACATAAAGTACAGCAGCAGAAGAAATTAATCATCTCCACAGATATAGGCAAATTTACAGGAAGAAGTTTAGAGTCAAAAATAGTAAGTGATAATAATTCATCCTTAAATAGCTCTAAAAATGAGCTGCAAAGGCATTTCTGTAAGTGATTACATGCTTTTTTCAGGGGTGATCTCTGTAACCCATAACAGATTAAAACAGTAATTCTGCAGAATTCTTACTCTCTCCACAGAAGTATATATTTAACCACAGAAAGTCATGGAACAGTAACTTTTAGAATAGCTTTTGTGTATCACTAACAGACTCCTTTATTTTTGCATTTAAGTGAAGGAGAAAAAAATAAGATGATTTCTTACACTGACTTCTATTTGTTAAGAAAATAAAAGACTACAAGTTGTCAGAAGGTAAGAAAATTACTTCTTCCCCCCCACCCCAAAATACAGTAGTGGTGCTTTATTCTTTGAATTTATTTCTTAAAATTATTATTAAAAAAAAGATTACCTGCACAAGTAGAGAAATGCTGTGCTTATTTCTTTCTGGTATGGCCCTAAATCTTTGGTATCACAAAACCCTGAGCACAAACACAGCAATTATGGGTTTTTTATAGATTGTATTACTCCCTTAAATGACTTTAAATTAAAAATGCAGTTTCAATCTCAAAATCAAAGTTAATTTTAAAACTCTTCCTTGAAGAAACATAAATAATTATTAAGAAAAGGAAGTTTTCCTTATGAAATATTAACACTAGATGGTGCTGCTCACACTGTTATCTGACACCTTGCTCTATACTGCACTTTGCTAGAAACCAAAAAGTTTGTTTAGTTTCTTTACTATCAAATTAAAATCCAGAGGGAGGTGAAAAAAAGTAACTGAAAAAAAAATTCTGAGAAAAATGTTGAGTAGCTTCTGGCCAAATTTTTGTCTTACTTTAGCCAAGTTACACTGTTCCTATGGCTGCATTTAGGCTAAATGTTTAAATCTTTACACACAATTAAAACCAACTTATGGTTTAGCATTCTCCTTGTTACAAATATGTGGGTTTTTCTTCTAATAGTAATAAACTACACAGAAAATACACTGTGCAGTTAATGTGCAACTTTACAAACTCCCATTTTATGACCTGCAATTAGGCAATTTGACCTGCAATTTGTCTTTCCCTAAAAATTGTTTTATTTCCCACCACTTCATAAATCTACAGGTCTTCAAAAATTCACAGCTTACCTCTGTATGAAGTGTGAAACTCCCTTCAATTTAAACAGAAACTGAAAACACTGTTAAGAAAACCAACCATTTCCAGTTACCTTTGCTGCAAACTGAAGTCCCACTTTATCAGCCTCAGCCTCCAGTGTTCTGCTGTAGGGTCTGTCAAACATGAACTGGAAAGAAGCACATCAAAGCTCTATTTTTGGGTTTGAATGTGCACAAAGCTGGAGCATTGTAACTGCCTTTCTAACCTTCCCATAAGAAAAGGGGTTTATCTATCTTGTTCACATTGTACGTGATCAGTATTAATTTTCTTAATGTAATCTTTAATTCCATTCTATGTAACTCATTGATCCTGTATTTAGTGGAAATCAATTCAAATTACACTTATTTTCATGGCCACTCTCATCAGCCAGTCCCACTTCACAGCAACTGAAGGCTCAATACCAACTTTACACTAGAATTTTTTCACTTCACTCTTTTATTGACACCAAGATTTTTGTTGTAGCAACTGTAGGTAAAAATTCCAGTGGTTCCCTAAACTTTTCTGCTGACTGCCTTTAAGCCTGGTATCATCTATTCTGCATGGCAAACAGTGCACAGTGTGGAATGTAGCCACTAGTCTTTCCATGCAGAAATCCTTATAAGTTTCAGGGGGAAAAAAACCCACCAAAACCCAAACAACACAAACCAGTTTGAAAAGAGAAGCACCAAAGAAGGGGAGCAATCCCTTGAGTACAGAAAGGTAACTGCAACTTTTTGCTTCTTTCCAAAGTAGCAGTGATAGTTTTTCTTTACTAGGTCAAAAATAGAAGCCAACCAAAGCTGATCCTCTAAAGTTTTTTTTTAAGCCAAATACTCTGGTTGATAAATAAGCACTTATATGAGGTCACTTTCTAAATTCTTGGTTTCCATACAAACCTTAAATATTGCAATTATAAATATATTTTTTAAATCCTCTGATGATAAAGTCATTCCTGGAAGGGGAACACATACCTCTACTGCCTCAAAAATCCAGGGCTGCTGGTGCACATATGTTCACTAAACAGCAAAGATGCCCCTGGCTGGTCTGTCATGTATTCCTGAAGCATTTCCCACTTAGCCAAATAAACTATTTGTTTAATTATTAAATATTTTTTTGGACAAGGAAATTAAATGGGTTACATAAAAAAGAGTCCAGAGTCATCTCACACACAGTACTTACTATTCATCTGCTACTGAAAAAATGAAATGGTTTAAAAAACCTACTGTGAATGTGCTGGAATGAAAAATTAGAACCACAAACTCTGATCTCAAATCCTTGTCTGAAATTGGACATAATAAGAGGGATTTGAGTTTTCAAATCAGTTACCAGAGCTGTGTGGAATACAAATCTGTGAGGTGGACAAGGAAAGGAGTGTGGAGTACTGCAGCTATACATATCTATGTGCAGGACATGAGCAAAACTCAAAGCTATGCTTTGAGCTATTCCAAGAATAATTCCTAGCTTTAGTTCCCATCTAAAATAACTGCTACTGTATAACAAAGCCAACATGCTTCAGTTCAGAAATATATGACAAAAGAACAACCATAGATGAACAGCATAAGGAAACTTAACAATTTATTAAGGAAAGTAAACCCACCAGCCTCTGGGGAAAAGGCAGAGCTGGAGCTCACATGCCCAAAGACCTACAAAGAATCACTAAGAACTACTTAGAGTCAATAATAAAAAATACACAATAGTCAGTAGGTCAAAAAGTTAAGCCTCTAGGACATAAGAGAAAAACAAATATACAGAGGGAAGCAAGTACTGCAATGTGGCTTAAATAACCCTTTCACAGAGTAGGAGGCTAAGGCTTCAAAAAGCAAAATACAGTTATGGAAGAAGAGGACAAGAAGTATCCTGAGAAAGTTTGCAGAAAGGTTCACTTTCATGGAAGCACAAGAGGCAAATGTCGAATGGAGAAAACAAACAGATGCTGCACTCCCGGGTGACTGAAAGAAATGAAATTTTCCATTCAGCATCTTTTTCATCTGGGGTGAAAGGTCTGCAGGTATCAATCACTTCAATATTAATGAAGGTGAGTTTGAGCAGCCTTTTAACCCAGGACATTGCTGTACAGCATGAGACATGTTTCTTACAGCACACCAGGACTATGAGCTTAAACCCCGATTCCATTTGCAACCTAAAGCACAACTCCAGTCCATGATTCCCAAATATCCATGCAGTTAGCCTAGGACAGGAGAAGAGATGCTGACAGGGAGTGGAATCTTGCTGTCTGAATTATGAGCAGTCTCAGGATTGATTCACACTCGTTCTTTGCCAAATTCAGCTCTTCAAAATGCTGGCCAGTGTTCATCAATGTATTGGTTTCTCAGCTACTTGTACGAAATATCCCAGCTCCTTAGAGATAATTTATGCTCAGAATCCACATATCTCCTCATTAGCATAAGAACTACCAAAACAGATTGATTCTGTTTAATTTCATGTTTTTGAGGAACTGAGGGAAATCTCAGGAAAAGTATCAAGTCCAAGTAATCAAAGAGTTCTTTCACTTAAATTCAGATTCAAGTTTTATGATCTAAGCAAAATTTATTTTTAAAAAACACACTTTTATAAAAAATAAATGACTCAGTAACTGTCCAAAGGCAGAGAGAAAATTAGACTGTGGAAGAAAATTGGCACCACAGAGCCTCTAAATTTTACTCTGTTGGAATATATGCTGGCTGAAAAGATTATTTCAGTAAGCTTTACTATAGTATGATTTAAACACTCTTAAGGAGTGTTTAGATTCTCAAATTTTTAATCTTGGAAACCATTCTTACCACTAACAATACATCTAAACAATTCCATATATTTTATTTGCTATAGGAACAATTTAACAACTAGGTAAAAGAAAAACATGGCATTTTAACATACATAACTTTAAGGGGCAAGTTACATTTCTAAAAGATAATCATCTGCCTTAATTGGCAGCTGGTACCTGGAGCCTGTGCAGCTCAACCAAGTCATGTAGGGAGATCTAAAGTTCTTCATGATGACAAATGAAAATCAGCACCAACCACAGCAGAATCAGATTTTTAAAAATGTATTTCCTTCAATAACATACTCAAATATTAATTTTTGCTTATATTTCTCCTCTTGCCTTTTTCCCCAAACATACTATTTACTGTAGTGAAAGATTCAAACTTATCGTTAAAATTAAGATTAAAAATGTCTTTCCAAGGAAGTCAGGGAGGATAATACAAAATGCCAATCTTACCTCCTGCAACTTGCTCTGAATCCACTGGCCAACAACTGCCAAACTATCCCGAGGACAGATGGCCCAAATCATGGTGAGAAAGATGAGGGAGAGAAAATCCAGGATGTGCACCAGGCTGGCTTTCTCTGCCTGCAAACAGAGATTGTCCCATTTTCATTCCTTACAGTCTGACATTTCTTTAGAACACAACAGAATTTGGAAACACTTTAAAAATCACAGATTTGGTTTTTTTCTATGCAGCCACAGGAACAGGGCACAAGATTCCCTGCTTGAACAAATAAAAAAATCCAGTTGGATACAAGGTACTTTCAGTCTGGAACCCACAGCAGCTGTGGAATACAGCTGGAGCAAACACATCTGGCCATCACCCTATTTGAGAGACACAAAGCTGGAGGTAAGATGGGGATGACATACAGAGAGTTCTTCAGTAAAAAGTCCAAGAAACACCTCAGTTGGAATGAAAAATCTATAAAGAGACCTCAAAGACTGTTCTTTACATTAATTTGAGAAGAGACAGACATCACTGAGACAGGATCCCTAATGAGAATAGGGGACAGTAGACATAATGTATTTATCTTTTGTTTCCTGCTGCACTGCTTTCATTTCAGAATCTGAGAGATCCTGAAGAAATAAATTGAAATTATTCTGTTTTCCAGAGCTCTATTTGACATGGAACAAATTGATCTGAGCACTTACAAGTGGGATCATGCAATAGTTCTCTTTATGCCAGCTGGGTGACACGGGTTCCACATAAACAAGGTAAGTTCTTTTTACTATGAGAAATGCATTTTTTAGAAGTTCAAAGGGGTAGTTGGCTCAACTGGGCCCAAGAAACAACATTGTGAACTGTTGCTCACCCAAAATCACAAGAATCAAGCTCCAGGCATTCCAGAGTTTGACATTCTAAACCAGTGTGTAACTATAATAAAAATACTATGGGTTTTAGGATAATTTTTTAAGTATATCCACTTCTGAAGGTATTAACAAGTATAGGAGTAACAAACTGAGTTGCTGAGTACCTCCAGTTCTTTATATCTGAGCTATAAGAGAGGCATCTGCAGACCAAGTTCTATATGACTGTTAAAAGTGAACCATAATCTACCTGTGCAGCTGTGAAAAAAAAACACTGGCAGACTTTGTGCTAACAGGGACCAGTAGAGGCCTTCTGACAGTTATTAAGTATTATACCAATAATAAGGATCTACTGTAGTGGACCAGACATTTCAAATTCCATTTTTCATTAATTAGAGTCACATTGAAAACTTGGTTGGTATAATATGATCAAAATTAAAGTAATTAGAATAATTTAAGAATATCAGATGACTTTCTTTAAAAACTTACTGCATGTTCCAGCACAGCATGAGCTATTTCATGTCCCAAAATAAATGACAGCTGATGAATATCAGAAACTGCATCGAGCAATCCAGTGAAAACAAACACTTGCCCATTCTGTAAACAAAAAGTGAATAAAAATTAAGTGGAAGACACATAAATAAAATGCTGTTTCAATATTATTAATAATGTTTGCATTGTGTTCAACTTACTGGAAGCACAAAAGCATTTACACCTGGTTCATCCACCACGTGAATCACCCACTTGAGTGCTGAGACCTCTGGGATGTCCTTATTGCTTTCAGACAAATGCCCAACAACTCTCTCCACAACCTGGTATCTTGCATCTGTCTCAGGCAACATTTGATTTTTGAACTCCTCCATCCACTGAAAAAAAAAATTCACTGATTGCCATGCAGAACAAACACACAGTGAATGACTAATTAGTAAACTAATTTAGTGGCTACACACAACTTAGATAAAACTAAGTTTCGATACATTTTTCTTTCATATAGCCAACGTCAATACCTTAGAGTTCAGGCTTTGAGACCCACAAGCAAAAGAATAATAAACTTGAAAGAAAGTAAACTGATCACAGATCAAAAATAAGATAGTATAAACTTGGTGCTATAGCCTCCTGTATCTCGAATTTTCCTAAACACAGTTAAGCTTGGCATCACAATTCAGACAACCTTGGTATCCCCTCTTGAATTTCCATCTGAATTTGTAATTTTTGTCTATCTGAATAGTCCTGTTGTAATTTGTAAGGTGGGCAAATTTATACAAATTATGTATTTTGAAAATATCCTTGTACTTGTTCTGTTCTTAACTCATATCTGAGAGGAGGGACTATAGTGACATTTGGATATGGTTTATCAAGTTTCACTGACTTTAGAACAAGAAGACACAGAACTCAAAGCTACAGAAACTAGTTCTGGACAGTTTAAATAGGCAGTTTAAAAGAAGCCAGTTAAAGAATAACAAGCTAATCAAATACACACACACAAAAAAGAACAGAATGCAGGTAGAGAGTACTGCCTTACAAAGTGACAGCTTCAAAGAGAGGACAAGTGCCAAAGAATGCTGCAATCAGCTCAGAAACTGAGACAAATCTCAGCATACACCTGTTCTTCTAAGATCCTACCAGATTTCCGTATTTCTTTTACAAAATCCTCTTCAATCACAGTAACACAGAAATGTTTGTTACATGCATGTCATGTGGCCTTTAATGTGCCCCTGATGGAAAGGGAACTCTTAAAAAGGATGGGAACAAGAGGAGAGGGTAACAGATGGGGGGGCTCAGCAGGGTTTTGAGTGTGAACTTCAAGACTTATCAAGGACACCACAAGGTTTGTTTGCCCATCTCGTTAATAGGGTTATCTCATCACTTAAAAAAAAAAGCATTAACAGTTCTAGAGTATTTTAATTTTTTTTCTTTAAAATCTTACCATTTCATATTCCATCTGTGACAGTTCCCTAAAATGCTCCTTCCCAAACACCAGCAGTCGAGCACGCCCAGTGATGGGTGTCTCCTCCAAGTGAGTAAAATAAAACATGATAAATACAACTCCTAAGCTACTGACACCCAGGAGGATCTTCCATTTATTTTTTCTTGCACTTTCTTTAAACAGTTCCCGTTTATTAGGAGGAAGTGCCTTCCACCAATTTCTTATGCTCCTGTAAGATACAAATAGTGTTAACTTAGGACATAGTTAAAAAGAAATTTGTTAGTGTCTGCCCTTGCTGTATTCTCTGTTATAGTTTCATCTCATGTAGCAGCTTATGGAAGGTTATATTATAATTGGCTTCTACTCCACTCCATTTCTTCCCTCGAACATGAGAAGAAGGAATGCCCCTCAGTGTGTTGGTTCACCTTCCTCTACCACATGTAAATGAGAAGGAAAAGAGCAAAAGATGCACCCAACACCTCTGAAAATGGAAAAAAACCTTCTTGTTGAGCAAACTGTCAGTCAAACAATACCACAAACACACCTGCCATCCTCCACAAACTCACACTTTGCATGATGGGGTCTTGCACTGAGAGCGAAGTAACAGTATTTTACCTGCCAAGAATGATGGCAAGTAATTTCTGAGCTGGCTTAACAATGATCCAGAAAAGAGGAACTGGCGCAGCCTGAAATGCTGGTGATGTGCGAAGAGACCTGATGATGTGAACGTTCCAAGCAGAACAGTGATGTGGGAGTTCCCCTATGGAACAGATCTGGAGGGATGTGGTCTTCTCCCCCTGTGGCCGAGAGGACTGAACGCAAAACCTTCCCGAACTGTGCTGTGCATTCCTGTATACTCCTGTATTTGGCACATTCAAAACACACTTCAGTCCTTTACTGATGAAGTTTCTGTGGCAGACAGGGTTTCCAGTCAAAAAACAGTTTCTAGTATTTCCACTCAAATCCAGCCTTTGGCATCTAAATCTGTTGATGTGAGTTCGGCACCATCCTGTGTAAGACCTAGAGAGGTTATTGCACTTCCCCTGCTTGCTCAAAGACGCCAAATGAGAGAAAACACAGTTTCTGCCCGGCAGCTTTAGACCACAGATGATATTCATAACTTCTTTGGCTGGTTACCCTGAAACAAAGAAAAAAAGTAGCAGAAAGGCATTAAGAAACCCCCCTGAACACGAAACTATGAATCATTATTTCATTGCTCCTGAACAGATACTGTGTATTTGTTTGCCAACAGCTGCATTGCACAAAGTGGTCACAGTCACAAGTGCACCCGGTTGCAGTTTCAAGATACCAATCCTTCTGACAGTGAAGGAAATCCCTGTCGAGTATCACTGAAAATAAAACAAGGTGCGATTTATTTTTCTCTTTCACTTTTAGTACCACCAGTCCAGAGTGACCGCAGGTGACCCTTGGGGAAGACACGTGTCACCTTTCCCTGCTGCCCTCGGGTGTCATTCCTATCCGTGAGGAAAACCAGGATCTATGAGCATGTTACTGCTACTTTGCTCCGGGCCTAGTAACAAAATGACTCAACACAGCGAAACCGAGTGTCTGCCAGCCGGGATCCTCTGACTCACGGGCATGGACATGGGAATGCCTTGGGACGGACAAGCCCCAGCCACCCTCTCGCTCATTTTCACCCCCCCCGGCTCCGACCGCGGCCTTGGCTCCCTCCCTGACCCCCCGAGAGGAACCGCGACTATCGTGACAGGGGCTGACGTGAGAGGGGAGGGGGGAGAAGGAGACGCGTCACTCGGAGGCGCCCGCCGGCCTAATGGCGGGCGGGATGGGGGGACCTTTGGCCGGCTCTTAGCTGCACGTCCCGGGGACCGGGAAGGACCTCCTGCACCGGGCTCCCCTACTCACCACCGCGGGAGGCGGAGGAGGAGGGGGCGGACGGCGGAGACGATGTCGATACCGGGACGGAGGGCGGGAAGCGAGACGGGCTCCGCGTCCCTTCCTTCAGGCGGGGCCGCCGCCGCCGCTTCCTTCAGGGGCGGCCGCCATTTTGTGTGGCGCGGGCAGCAGGGCTGCCCCTCGTGAGGCGCGGAGCCCGCTCTGCTGAGCGCCTTAACCCTGGCTTTGCCCGCGGTGTTGCGGTGTCACCTTGCTGCAAAAAATTTAGTATATCAAAATTGCCATAAATCAGGGTGTTCTTTGATGTAGGATCTTCGTGTGCTTTCGAGCCTGAATCAGCGGAACAGGCAGCAGCCAGCATCCCCTAGTTAAGGACATCCAGGAACTAACAAGCTACAAGGATGCAGTAAATCAAAGATGATGATGTATATCTATGCACACATTGCTAACTTGGCAAAATACAGTTCATGTATCCTACAGCTGAACTGTGCTCATTATAGTACTAAAAATCACGCCTACAGGTCAAAAAGACCCCTGCCCAGGTCAAGACCCTTCTCCTGAGCATATGTAGAAGATCACTGGGGTTATGTAACTTGTATGGAAATTCCTAATCAATCATAATACAGGGGCTGTGCTTGGAAAGTTAGTAACTCTGAATTTCTGCCTGTAAATAATAGCGTGAAAAGTCCAGTGGCCGTGCTTGATTCATGGAACACCACTGAGCACCCAGCCTTGTGCAGCTCTGAGATAAATAATCGGCATCTCTCTCTAGAGTGTCATTATTGGCTTGTTGCACACCTGGTTACGAATCCGATTTTGAGGGCAACAACCTCCCAGCCCTGAGTCCTGACTGGTTAAGCATCCGGAGCCAGAGTGATGTACTGGGATGTATGGTAATGGCAGGGCAGCCCAGGCTACACACAAGTCTTAGTGCTTTGCATGTAAACAGAGGCCCTGTGGTTGTGAAAAGTAAAGAAACACAAATCTTTGCCTTTCACAGTCACGTCCTCTCTGTGAACACAGTGAAGTATTGTTCAGTGTTTGCTGAGACTCATTAGTCCATCCCTTTTTATCTGCAGAACCCTCTGCTGTGACAGTTCTTAAGCACTGCCTATGAAAATATGTAGTGAACAGATACTGGAGTCCAGGCCAGAAAGAAACTTCATTAAATAGTAAGTAGAAAATCTGTTTTCATCAGACACAATTCCTTTAAGACCTGCCCAGCCTCCATTGTCATAAGAGGCATGAAGAGTAAAATCTGTCAGTCAATAACACGGCATTCATTTTTGTGACTGTCAGCTCCAATCACAAAAACAGCTGAGCTGTAGCAGCAGAAAAGCATTTTGTCTAACCTAAGGCTTGTGTGTGTCCCAGCTGTCAAGAAATAAAGAACTGAGATGGAAACCCTCATTAATATCCTTATTAGACTTTGTATTTGCTTGCTCTTCTTGTCTTCTTTATCTAGAATTCTCAGTTCCTAAGCCAAGCATTAGGGCTTTCTACCATTTCTTCTGTGGAGCAAATGTAATTTTTCCACCTTAGAGTCTCCACTTTATATCAAATCTGCTGAAAACATATTGTTATGTATTATTTCTGGGCATATTTCTTTTTCCTATTACTTGTTTCTCCAACTGCATTGTTTAACTGTCTGCATAGAGGGTACAAGAGCTATTTCTGCATTCCTGACTCGCCTGAATTCCTGTTAAACACAATGGATGTTTTGAGTCTGCAAGGATGGGGATAAAAGTTGTGTTCTGCATTCTGCTTTTCTAAAGTGGCATTGCTTACAATTAAAACTTCAAAGAGACAAGCAGCAAATACAGCACAGGTAATTATTGGATATCTCTATCAAATACCAACACTAAATATATCTTAGATGAAAATCTGGTAAACAGTTGAGCAACTGGGGAGTTATAAAGTGTTTTTCTCTAAATAGACATGTTGTGAAAAAAAACCATTCTAACTAGTAATTTATACCGTGGCTTCTCTTGAATTTTAATGAATTTATATGCATATAACCATTTTTTTCCCCTGAGAAAATAAAATAGAGTATTCTGTGATAAAGAGAGTAGGTTAAGATTTGTTTTGTAGCTGAGATTTTACTTACAAACCTCATCTCTCCTAGAAAAAAAGACTCTGGTTCCCATTTCTGAAGAAGACCAGAAAGCAAGTTTTCAATCCTTAAGACTTCATAAGACCTACTTAGAGGTCATAAATGATTTCCTGAGTACAGTTAAACAATTAACACTTTACCAGGTACAATTTTCCTGTGTAGTTGTGTCCATTAGTATTTCTTTATCTCTCTATGTAAGTAGTTGTGCTGAACTGAATGAGATTTTGTTTATATATGAAATTATTCAGACAAGCAAATGTCAAACAAATAAAAGCAATGAAAACTAGTTTAAATTAAAAATAAAGGCTATTTTTCTGTATATTTGGATATTAGGTACTGAAGTCTCCCTGCTACCAGTTTTGTTCATCACTATGAAAAGATGTCAGTTAAAATATATCGTTTTCAACTGCAAATGAAAAAACTTAATATAAAATAATAAAATATTTGAATTCTATAAAAATCCAAGGAAAAACTAAGTATTAATTGATGCCTTTGTCATTCAAGTTTCAGTGTAATTCATTTCTGCTCACAGGTACTGAGCTAAAACCTTGGCAGAAACAATGCACTCCATCATCTTCTGCAAGTCAGAAATTGGAGTTAATGCCACTTAACCTGTTTGGCCATTTGAAATCTCAGGACCTCACCCAGGCAACACTTCTTATAAATGCCAAGATTTTTCCAAATATTGTTCACTAGAAGTTCCTGTCTTGATCCCCCTGTTGTATTGTGTACTAACTGTCCCTTGCCCTCCCCTTCCCCACTAAGACACCAATTCCTATTTAAGAATTGAACAGGTAATAACTATTTCTGCTCGTTATCTATGTTGTTGATGTTAAAAAAAAAAAAGTAGATTTAAAATCCAGAAGATGAAGTTACTGACCCAACCAGAAGTTTACTGCAAAACTGTCTAAAACTTGTTATAAAATTCAGTACCAAATTTAATTTCAAAACATGTGTGAAGAGGTTGTAAATAAGGAGTGCTCTTTTCTTTGCTTGCTGTTTCACAACATTTTAATGCAAGACTCAGGAAAAGCTTGGATGCTTAATAGTTGCAAAACTGGCAGAAATTCTGAGAATCTGTCACTTAATTTTTATTCTCCTCGCTTCTTATTCTGCAAATAATTTGTAAACTGCTTTTAAAGCAGCTGACCTGCATAAAACATCAGTGAAAATAGTAAATAACACAGAATTCTTCTACTTGCTGTCTAAAATGCCAAATGTATCTGGAGTGACAGAAAAAAAGGGAGCATGAATTAACTGTCTATACTTGAGAGATTTTGCTTAAGTCCTTCAGAATTGAGACAGTTATAAAGCATCTTATTTCCAACAACAGCAAAAGAGCACGTGAAGATGGGAGGGGAAAAAGAAAACCCAACAGACCGGACTGGTTGGGTGCCACCAGTACCGTTGGGCCCATATGGAAAAACCTCAGTGGAAAATTAGCAATTCACATTTTCATTTAGATAATACAAACTCTCCCTAATTGTTCTGTGGTGCTTGATTGGTACTGGAGTAGGGCTGGAGTGTTATCCCTCGGGGACTAACTAGGGATCATCAGGAAAATGAGATGTGGATCTTGTCAGGCTGCCTGGCATGGATGAAATTTTAACTAGATAGGGCCTGGTACAAGGAATTTTGTTAGAACTGCTGAGTAATAATTGTAAAAGTTCAGGAAGTTGATTTTTCCTGCTTTGATAGCAATTGTAATGGCTTAAGATTAATTTTAGCATTAAAAAAAAAAAAGAGAGAGTAATTGCAGTGCTTAAAAGCTTGAGGCAAATCAGTGAAAATGCTTTGGAAAGGATAATTATACCTGCACGAGGAAGACATCTGTTTAATGGCATTAACTGGCCCAATTAAGGAGAAGTGGAGGAAGGGCCAATCTGTGATTTCTTTAACTGTTCTCTGAAAAACTGGCTTTGATATGCAAGCAATAGAAATTGGTTTGGCTTTCTCTAAGGTGATCCTCCAAGGTTTAAACATTTTAAGGACTATTGGGGGGATCTTGTCTCCAGTTGTCAGTAACATCACAGACATGCAGTGTTTTACCATCCAAACAAGAGTGGCCTCGGGAGTGTTTACAAGGAAGGCATTACAATTCCCATCATCAACCTAATCTGGCCATAATTCCAGTCTAAACATCCCTAAGAGATTATCTTTAAGCGGGGGAAGATGAGACAAGAAGAGGATTCTTTGTTGTTCCAAAACAGTGGCAGGTTTGGCTATTTTACCACTGATAAGAGCTGGAAGCTGCAGGCTGGTGAGAGTAGTGGAGGATCTGCTGCCACAAAGCTTCCCCTGGGGCTTCCCTGCTCCAACCCAGAGTAATGGGTGTGCTTTTAAATGTGGGTGTGGAGCAGACAGTTGTCAACTCACACCAGTCACAAACTAACGCAGGGATTTTGTGTCAAAGAATCTGAGAATACATATCTGGATATACAAGCAGGAATATATTTACCAGGGGGAGTAGAGAGAACAGAGTTTAAGAGGGTTTTAATCCTTATCTTTCATTTCCTTGCTGTAGTGCTGGCATTGCTTCTGGCACTGTCCTCAGATCTGGAGTGGTTAAAGAAGTTTGAGTTAAAAGCGAAGGCCAGAAGTCCCTTTGTGCAGTTGCACAAGGGC